CGGTCTATTTATAAATGTTTTAAACAAGATTCACACAACTTTCACCCAGAATTCACACATTTTCCCAACTGAATCCAATTAGAAAAATGTGTGAATCTTATGCGAAGATATTTATTATTAGACCCCTAAATGAAATAAAATAATCTAAGCTACCCTAAATACACCTTCAAAAATGCACCCTCTAAATAAGGGGGGGAAAAATAAGTATTTTTTTTCCATGCAAACTTTGCTTTAGCAACTTATTAAGTAAAAATTTATGTTTTTCACCCAAATCACTGCTCATCCTTAACTAGTAAAATGCTTAATATGCTGTTGATGGATACTGAGAGTGATGAAAGCTATGAATTTATTTATAGGCAATGGATGGTTATGTATACCTGTCATATGATCTTTCTGAGGGTGGAAATCAAGCTACCATTGTTTGAATATTCAATTTCCATCATGTTGTTCTAGTAACAGAAATTCTAGGGTGCTTCTTTGCCGCTACTGTATTTCTACTGTTTACATTAACAGACATCCCAACCTGCAAAAACTCATTTCCGGGAGGTGCCCTCTATCCCATCCTCCCCCACATGTGGATGGAAGGGTGGATGGCAAATAGCAGGGGAATCAGCAGATAACAAAGGAGCTAATGCTTCTCTTGCCATCTGCTGTTTATTGTTTTGTATTCTGTCAGAATGAAAAAAAAACCAGCAGATAGCAGGGAAATGAATAGCTAGGCTGCTATTGGCCATTTCAAATTGTAATAGCCACATGCAGGTTGGCTATTGTATGTAATTGAATGTGCAGCGCTCAGGGTCACTAAATAGTGAATCAACTCAGTGTAACACAATTGACATGTAAATAAATAATCTCAAATTGTGCAAAGGTGTATAAATCAGACTAATAAATATATAAATACATTAATTGCTTGCTAATAGTGAGCAATAGTGCCTCACATATAACAGTCACAGTGATATATAAATCTCAAAAGTGCAAAAAGTGCATAGAATTTCTATGAAATAGATTCCAAGAATCAAAAAATTAATTAATTCAGTAATGTAGTGTCTCACACATAAAAATATATATATATATCAATTCAAGCGATACATAAAAAAGTGAATCCCAAAAAAAAAATATAATGTGAAGTGAGTCCAACAATGATAAGAGCTTCCAGTGAAAACAGCGTGTTGATGATGAAAACAAATTCCACCTAAGGTGTCCACGTCAAAAATTCCCCTCTGGGGTGCACACTCACCAGACCACAGATGTTTATAGGCAGAGAAAGACGAGATGACAGTCGATGATCTCACAGCCGTCTCGTCCTTATCCCATGGATCATTAGTTTATCAAAAAAATACAAAGGAACAAGAACTCCTCATGGTGTAGTCGATAAAGATTTATCCCCCTGAAGACGTCCTTGGATGACGAAACGCGTCGGGGCAGGGCTATACTGCTCGATACCACGCACAGTCAAGAAGTGCAGAAGCTTTACTCACATCGTGTGAGCGGCCGGTTTTATCGTTTTAATTGTAAGTGGCTACTTTTTTTGTTTAAATAAATCTTTATCGACTACACCATGAGGAGTTCTTGTTCCTTTGTATTTTTTTTATAAAATAAGCGCGGATTATACATACTTCAGGTTGGCTATTGTACCTGCCCACTGCTGCGGTCAATTAGCAGAGGAGGACCTGAAGGAGAACTTTAGCTCCACCTCTGCTGATTGACAGCAGCAGTGGGTGGGTTTAATAGCCAGCCTGCTATTTGCTATTGCAATTTGAAATGGCCAATAGCAGCCTAGCTATTCATTTCTTTGCTATCATTTGTTTTCAGCAGGTGGCCGCTGTCAGAATAAAAATAAAAAACAGATCGCAGGGGAATCAGCAGATAGCAGGTGAGCTAATGCTTCCCCTGCTCTCTGCTTTTTTTTACTTTGTACTCTGACAGTGGCCACCGGGAAGTGACATAGAGCGGCTGAGGAAGTAGAACGATCAGGTTGTTGTTTCTCTCACAGGCATCAGGGAGTCGCTATCATATAGCGGGAGATACTCCCGGAATGTCCGGGAGAGTTGAGATGTCTGCATTCATACATATATTTACAATCCCTCTATTCTCTAAATAAGGTTTCTTGTGGGAGAATTCTACAAATATCAATTAATAAATAATGCTTTTCAGCACTTTACCCCCTTTCCGAAGAGTTTTATGCTAATACTTACTAGCATCTGCTTATTGGTGCCTATATATGTGGGCAGAGTTTATCTATTAACCAGACCCCCGAGACTGAAATATAAACATGTATTGCACTTACATAAGTTGAACTATTGATCCTATTGGAAAAGATGATTTTTGTGGTTCATGGACCTATGAGACTATTAGCAGCATGTACACATAATAGGGAACAATCTATTACGTAGTCACATACGTGTGTACTTTCATACATTTATGGCAGTCCATCAACCAGAGCAAAGCATCCGTACATACAGTAGTTCACTAACTGTATAATATATGTTTCCACAAAGACATTAGGTGTGCGGGTTAATGTTGCAGAGTAATAGGCAACTGATTGTGGAAACAGCCATTTTGATGAATTATCTGCAGTGTTCAGGCATTTAGCCCTGTCAAAAGATCTTGGGATCAGGCTACAGAGATGCTAAGGAGAATGTGTCAATAAACACTGACTTCCTCATGTTGATTACTTGGAAGCTCAAAATTAAAAACCAACTCTAGCCAAAATGTTTTGTTTAATTTTCCTGCTGGGAAAGATGGAGAGTTAGAGCCTCGATGAGGTAATAATTACAATCTGTGTCCCTATTGGGGAGATTTCACCTCATTTCCTCTTAGAACTGCATGTACTGTATATTAGAGGATTTTGCATAATCAAACCAGGTACATCTGTCATTATAAATGTACAATACAAGCCATACTTACATAAAAATTGGACAGCGGCCCACTAAATGAAGGAATTTTAACTCCAAATACATATTTTAATTGTGACACCACCACTTCAACTGCTGCGGCAGTTGTGAAACCATTAATTAAGGGCTCCGACAAATATATGACTATGAAGCCAACTTGCAGAAGTCCTAAAGCCAACTGCAAAACATTATAACATTATACTATTATATTTTTAAACAACATAATACATTGTACAATAGCAGAAAAACAAAAAACTCAAATATGCTTATTTCTGTTTCTAATAACAGTTAAATGTTTAGCAGAATTTTGTTAAGCTGCAGTATGTGTATTTACATTGTATTTTCGTTTTTGACTTTAATGTTGAAGGTTTGTTACAAGCTTACACTTCATTTTTACATGCAATATTACCTTGTGTTTTATATTTGCTCATATGTATGTTAACCCTTTTTTGGCCAGGTATTCTTTTTAACCCCTTCATGACTGAGACCTTTTTATAATTTTTTTGCACCAATGTTATATTCCACATTTTAGGCCTGAAAATTACTTAAAACCCCCAAAAATTATATATTTTCTGAAAGCCCAGACCCTATGGAATAAAATGTTGGCAGTTGCAAATGTTTATGTTGCACGATATTAGCGCAACTCCTTATAAATGCCCCAAAACACAATAAAATACCAATTTTTCATTAAAATATAAAAGATGAGTTTACACCAAGTAAATAGATATCCAACATGCCCAGGTTCAAAATTGTGTGCGTCCGTGAAATGGCGACAAACTTCAGTACCCCAAAAAGTCCATAGACGACACTTTAAAAGCCCCCACAGGTCATCAATTTAGAGATACCCAAAAATACTGGCCCTAGAATTATTGCTCTCACTCCGGTGTGCACGGCGATACCCAAAATGTGTAGCGTGTTCATCGTTTTTATACGTAGGTGCACCCGGTGGCAACGCGTGTGCTCGCGGGGGCGTGGGACTTATTTAATTTTAAAAATTGTTTTTTTGTTTTGTTTTTTACTTTACTTTGATTGCTATCACATAGAGGGGGCTTACAAGCTCTTTATCGACGAATTGAGGTAAGTCCATCTCCTCCCCAGCTCCCCGCGGACACCACAGAAGCCGGTCCCGGGCCCGTAGGAGGGGCAACGGAGCCCAGGAAGCATGGTGGGGGTGTCGGGCGGGGGGCGGCCCCTTCACGGGACTCTCTAAGTGATCTGGCGACAGCTGAGTCGCCAGAATCTCTTCTATTGTAAAACCAACAGTGGCCTTTACAAGCTTAAACAGAGTCCCGGCGGCTTTTGCCCGATGCTGGCAATGTACACTGTACGTCGTCAGTCACGAAGGGGTTAAAAGCATTTCTGCCTTGCAACACTGAGGTCCCCAGTTGGAATCCAGGCTCAGTCAGGATACTACCTACATGAAGTTTGCATGTTCGCTGTGTGTTTGTGTGGGTTTCCTCCAGGATCTGTGGTTTCCTCCCACACATCAAAGACATTCTGGTAAGTTTATTTAGCTCCTGTCTAAATTGACCCCGTATGTGTGCATATGAGACAGGGACTTTAGACTGTGAGCCTCTTGAGGGCAAGGACTGATCTGAATGAATAGTATGTAAAAGCATTGTGTAAATTTACATTGCTATATAATTAGCTGTAATAAATAAATAGATATGGAGCTTAGAGCCCATGTTTGCGCAAACAAAACATATCCTTGCAGTGCGGCTACTCCCACACTGCAAGGGTTACGTATTCCCTTTTTCAAAGGGACTCAAATAAAGGTGTTTTACTTACTTGATCCTGGCTCCCATGGTGTTTAGTGCTCACTTCTTCTCCCCCTCCACTTGGGCTATGGAATGCCACTTGGGGTCTTCATGTCCTAAGCAGGTTAATGAACCTGCTTAAGATGTGATGATGTCAGTGGTCCTTAGGCCTTGTTCACACCAAGCGCGGAGCAGATCCAGACCAGAGCAGGTGCAGACCGGATCAAAACTGCGTCCAATGTATTCCTATGGTATTTTGACCTCCAGTTCACATCGCAGCGTGCAGATCCAGACCAGATCCAGAGCAGGTGAAAAAACTGCGGCAAGCCCTATTTTACCTGCTCTGGATCTGCTCTGGAACGCATTAAAAATGCATCAAAAACGCATGCAAGTGCCTGAAAGCCCGTGTTAACCTCTTGCCGTCCGCCCGTAGTAGAAAAACGGACGGACGGCACTGCTGCATCTGCGGGTTGCCGTCTCCAGACGGCAATTTTTTTCTGCTCGCGCGCGCCCCCTAGCGGGCACGCACGGGCAGAAAAGACCCGACAATGCACACACCCGGTACCGGGTGTCACACATATAGGCGATCAGCGGGTCCATAGCCCGCCGATCGCCTATATGTGCTCGTTCGCGGCAGATCTCTGCTTTATCAGCTTCTTTTGGGGTCCATAGGTGATATTAGGGGTCCTAGAGACCCCTAATATCTCCATAAAGAGGACCTGTCAGTGTGCCTTTGCTATTATATAGGGGGTTGTTATCCCCCTATATAATAGCAATAACAATAAGTGCAAAAAAAAAATATAAATAAAAAAAAAGAAAAGTAACACATAAAAAAATAAAATAAAATAAAAGCCACATATAAAAAAAGGGGAAAAAACCCCCCCAAAATGTTTAACTCCCCCACCCCCACGTTTACGCGCCTATAAACGTAAATACGCGTCCGGTGCCCCAGCGCGCAAAAATTACAATTGCGCTACACATGTTACATATCGCCGCGAACGTCGCAGTGAGAGCAATCATTTTAGGGCCATCAATCACTGATAACACTAAACTGATGAGCGGTAACAGCTTTTAAAGCGTCGCCTAGGGCCAATTTTGGGTATTATCGTTTTTTGAGGTTTCGCGCGCGCACGCAATTTTAAGGCTTGACATGTTTAGTGTCTTTTTACCCGACGTGACCCCATCTTTTATATTTTACCAAAAAATTGGGTAATAATAAATGTTTTATCATTTAATATAGGGGAAACTGTTTTTTTTTTTAAATTTCGGTAATTTTTCCTTAATATAGTAAAAAAATAAAACCCCCAGTGGTGAATAAATACCACCAAAAGAAAGCTCTATCTGTCCCCAAAAAAGGGTATAAAATTCATTTCAGTACAGCGCTGCATGACGGAATAAATGTCAGTTAAAGTACCGCAGCGCTGAATACTGAAAAATGGCCTGGATGGGAAGGGGGTTTAACACCGCGGATGTCAACTGGTTAAACTTTAAAAAAATAAAATAATTTTTTTTAACCAAATCCGGCCCGGAACGCATAAAAAATGCGTCCAAAACGCAGCACAACCCACTGCACTGCGTGTGCAGAAACCTGACCAGATCTGCTCTGCATTTGGTGTGAACAAGGCCTTAGACTGCCAGAGCAAAGAGGCTGCAGGCTGATTAACTGCTCCCTCCAGCAGCAATTCATAAACAGCTGGACGGGAGCCTTCCAGATGCGGATGGGCGTTTTTAAAATTCCCTTACCCGCCCCCACTCGTGTGCGCCATCCAACGTATGAGCGGGAAAACTGCTGAAATTTGAAACAGCCAGCGATGACTGTTTAAATACAAGCATTCTGGCAACTGTAGAGCTGCCCAATCACTTGTATTTTGCATGTGAATGTGTGCCCCCTCCCCACCACAGCCGATCCTGAGCTCTGCTGGGCTCAGCTCGAGCCCGGGACCAGCACAGCAGCTCTGTGACCGGAGATCAGAGGGAGCTCAGTACACAATCTCCCTCTGAACTCCTCTACAGTGTCAGAATGCAGGAAGTGATGTATATTACATCACTGCTGCATTCAGCTTCTCTGGGGGATCCCTAGATGACATTAGGGGTCTTAGAGACTCCTGATGTCTCCTTAAAGAGGACCTGTCACTGTATATTGACTATCACATAGCGGAGTTTGTTAGCCCGCTATGTGATAGCAATAAAGTTAAGTGTAAACAACTAAAAAGTTTTTAAAAAATTAAAGTAGCATAAAAAAAGTTACATATAAAAAAATATTTTAAAAACACAAACTGTTTTAAAAGTCCCCTGCCCCCATGTACACATGCAAACATGCGTCGGTGCACCTACATGCAAAAATTACAATTGTGCCGCGCATATCCCTGCGAATGTTAGAGTGAGAGCAATGATTTTAGGGCCATCAATCACTGTTAACACTAAACTAATGAGCTGTAAAAGCTTTTAAAGCGTAGCATATGGCCAATTTTAGGTATGGTAGTTTTTTGCAACTTTGTGGGGACGCACAATTTTAAGGCTTGGCATGTTTGGTGTCTATTTACCCAACATGACACCAAAGTTTATATTTTACCAAAACATGTGGGTAATAATAAATGTTTCATAACATAACGTAGGGAAAAGCTTTTTTTTCAAAAATTGTGGTACTTTTTTAGTTATATAGTTAAAAAAAATTAAAACCCCAGTGGTGATTAAATACCACCAAAAGAAAACTCTATCTGTCCCCAAAAATTATATAAAATTCCTTTCAGTACAGCGTTGCATGACAGAATAAATGTCAGTCAAAGTACTGCAGCGCTGAATACTGAAAAATAGCCTGGTCAGGAAGGGGGTGTAAACACCTGGTCTTCAAGTAGTTAAAGGATGTGAGAATCTTCAACAATAAATTGTGTGAATATTAATTTCAATTCTTCAACCATGTCATCGAATCATAAATCATCCATTCATGTGCAGATGAAAAAAGTAAACAGGAATTTGCTTTTCACATGATTAGATAACTGTAAAGTAAATATTCACACAAGAGACGATTCTCAACTCCTTTAGAATAATCCAAGAGTTTAGCTGATCCCCTCCAACCATCCTGCCTGGCTATTGTACATTGGGTGCCAGCTGTCAAATTACTTGAACAGTGATTGCAGCTAATAGGCTGCAGGCACTGTTCATCCAACAATGTTTGACTTGCCTCCTTCGTCTAAGGTTGATTGAATTATCGACTTTTGTCGAACAGAGTGGTGCTGACTGGGCCACCCGTAGCTCGCATTTTTGCCAGTTTTGGAAGTCATTGTTTTATGACCATACAGACCTGAATAATTCCAACAAGGAAAGTTAGAGATGCTGCTACAATAATACGCTCTTCATTCAGTAAATCCTCAGCAGTAGAGTTAGTAATATTGTTGTTTGCACTTTCAAATTTATCTTCAGGTACAAGTGTAGCTACAACTGAGCCAACCATCAAGCTCACAACAGGGAAAGGGCCTAAACAGTAAAAGTATAGAAGAAATTATTAGACAATTATACAATATATACCTATACATTTAGACAATACACCTAAATATCATCACAAATCCTCTAATAATTTGTAACTTACCTGCTGATATATGTCTGGAAGTTCCCAAGAAAAAGTAGACTACAACTGGGAAAAATGAAGTATACAATCCATAGCCAGGGGAGACATTTGCAAGGAGCGCATATGCCAAACCTTAAATACAAACAAGTTACAATATTTAAAATGTGACAGTTTTAAATGAAGGATGTATTTGTGAGAAAATAACTGCCTCAAATTGTCCAGTCACACTACTGACTACTGAAACTACACAAGGGAAAGAGATTAAAGGTATAATTACAATGGGCTTGCAATAGTTACTGTAAAAAATCTCACATCAGGGTGCAAAACTTGCAGGGTACCTGTTTAAAACATTGATGCTGACAGATGTGTAAAGGAAAAACCACACTTACGTTTGAGTGGGAGAGGACCAGGAGAGGGGTGGCCTTCTAGGAGGATCGAGTGGTCCCGGGTTTCTTGGATAGAAATAGTCGTGGGAACTGGCAGCCGCAGTTTGAAGAATGGAAGACTGATGGCCAGGAGGGGAGACAAGGCAGTGCTAGGACTGTATCCGTATCACTCTTGTGTGGACTGAAAGGGGGACGGTGCGTGGGTAGAACGCTGGATTTGACTTGGTGGTGCTTCGGCTGAACAAGCACCCGTCTCTGCAGCTGTCAGGACGGTGCTTGGAGTGGAGAGCAGTCCTGTCCCTAAGGGTCTGGTAACGACGGCGCATGTAGCGTCTGACTGTGTACGGGAAGAAGCTGTTAAAAAACTGTAATAAAACTGTAAAAAAGGCTATTTGAGAGTAGCCTGCTTAGCGAGTCACAAGTGGGGAGAAGACCCGGGATAACACCGGGGAGCGACACGTTTCGAGGAAACCTCTTTCTCCGCCAGAGCCTGAGAAAGAGATTTCCGTCCCCCTTTCAGTCCACACAAGAGTGATACGGATACAGTCCTAGCACTGCCTTGTCTCCCCTTCTGGCCATCAGTCTTCCATTCTTCAAACTGCGGCTGCCAGTTCCCGCGACTATTTCTATCCAAGAAACCCTGGACCACTCGATCCTCCTAGAAGGCCACTCCTCTCCTGGTCCTCTCCCACTCAAACGTAAGTGTGGTTTTTCCTTTACACATCTGTCAGCCCCAATGTTTTAAACGGGTACCCTGCAAGTTTTGCGCCCTGATGTGAGATTTTTTATAGCAAGCACAGGTCCTCCTACTGTTTTTCTGGGCAGCACACTGCATTTTGTTCATTTTGAGCCCATTTCCAAGAGCGCTGTTTGTCCATTTACAGTTTTTTGCAATAGTTACTGTGATACCTTAAAGCAGAACTATGGGGTTAGGGCTTTTCCCCATAGTTCTCCTAAGGGTAACGGGGGGACACAAATTAGTGTCCTCCCGTCACCCAAAGCTCAGTATACCGCGAGCTACAGCTCGCAGTATAATGAGACGCCGCAGCAGAAACGGATCCCGACAATTATGTCTGGATCCGCCCAGCTGCGTGAGTGACAACTGGCTCTGCCTATCTAGAGGCAGAGCCAGCTGTACCCGCCCCCTCCCCCGTCTGTTCCGCCAGTCAGCGCTGGAAGATCGGAGCGGGGAGGGGGGAATCCAGCCCCTCCCCTGTCACGGCTCTCTGCCGTGACAGGATCGAGAAGTGAGCGAGCGCCGGTATGTGATCGCTCACTTCCCGGTCTACTGAGCCGACCTGTGACAGTTTCATTGTCACAGGTTGGCTAGAACTATGAGGATGAGTGAAAATCACTCACCTCATAGTTCTCCTTTCACAGCTGTATCCTGAAATGTCTGTATTAAAACATGTCAGTTTCTTAGGATATCATAACTATAAATATTTTATTGGTGGGAGAAAAATATTAAATTTGAAAATCTAAAAAAAGTAACACAAACGTCTTTGGGGGGTGGGGAGGGGGGGGGGATGCGCTAATGATATTAACAATACTCTGAGGCAAATAATAAACATTCACTGCAACATTTGCTAAATGATTTACTGTATTTACTGCACATTTGCCAGTTGCTCATTTGTTGACATTTGCCTAAAATATGTAGTATTGTAATAATGTATTATACAAATAAGCACTTGCTTTTTAACACTTATTGTGAGGTCCGAAATGTGGCGGGTTAATGTTTTTTTACATGGCATCTCTCTGCCATGTATATAATAACACGTCCGATTTAAAATTGTCCATGATTTGTTAGGGTTTCCCCAAAAAAGGATGCACTTTTCTATAAGCACCTAACTTGATGCTGACAGGTCCAGCACCCCTTTTAATTCGAAAAGGAGACTTATGCATCACCAACCTGCCCCTTGTGGTGGGCAAATTAATTGCCCCAGGCTCCCTTATTAACTGCTTCCAGGGGTCCTTTGGACATCAAACACTTTCACTGAGCATGCACTGTGGTGAATGTGCCTGCAGATGTCTTTTTTTGTATTTGTGTAAGGCAAACTCACCTTGCAATACAGCTACAAGCCCTGTTGTAACTCCTGATATGATGTCACTGAGAATCCACTCCTTGAATCGATAAGCAGGAAGCCAAGAAAAAATAGGGAAGTAAGATAAGGCAATCCTCTTAGCTTTCTGTGTGGAACATCTACAATGAAACCCAAAATGACTCATTTTAGTCAAACATAATAACATTTATAATGAGTGTGTCATAAAAAATAAAAAAAATTCCAGTTGACATGATGACTATAAATGAAACATACTTTTAACAGGAAAAACACATAGGTTACAAAAGCAACCCCTCTCTTCCTGTCACATAAACAACAGGGTGGGTAACTCTGTCCAGAACATAGCTTTCAGTCAATAATAATTCTCTTGTTTAACTATACCAACAATTTGAACATCAGCCACAAGTGGAGTGCCATTGGAAGTAGCCTTTCAATAATTGAATACTTATATAGCTGCATAACCGCCAAACAAGTACGCTGTATATGGCCAGCTATAGAGAGAACCATCACAACTGAACTTTTTGAAGAACTTGAGTAATCTGTTATAATTATTACAGCCTTGTATCTACCTCCTCATTTTACATTACTTACTTTATATGAATTTGACTCTTTGGTGCGAGAGTCAAAGTTTGGAGGTCATATGGGCTGTACCTGCTTATCAAAAGCTTGACCTTGCTCCCACTGGGCCCAATTTACAAAACTTATGAGCAAATCATATGCTTGCATTGTTTACAATGGGCCTGATTTGCTTGGAGAAGAATGCACAAATATACAAATTACGTGAATGTACCAATAAGCATGGTATCTAATGGAGAATATGCCCGCTTAGGGGGGGGTGCCTAAAATAAGAATGTGATTTTCTGTAATGATTTTAGGTTGATAGCAATTTTATACTCAACTTTCATGTGGGTACAAAACTGCATTAAGTACTTTTAGATGTCATTAAAGGCAACATTAAAAAGAACAGTAAAAACTAAAAAAAGTCATACTGAATGTTGTCCTTTGGGGTATCACAGTGCATGTGAGCAGATAGGCCTGCTGAGGCCATATACAATTTCATATACTAGTGCCTCTCATGTACGACCCCAATTCCCAGCTAAGTTGTTTGGCTGCTGTATGGTCTATTGTTAATAGTCCGTACAGCAGCCAATAGGTTTGGCTGAACCAAAGGGCTTTGGCAGCTGAAGTAAGCCTAAGGATTAGCCGAAGCTACGGCTATATCCTTTGGCTCCTTAGTGGATAACCCTCTAAGTGTACATAACAATTTCAAATAACAAAGCCACATAAATATAAAAAAAAGGAAATCGCTATGTGTAGGAAAAGCAACCAAAAAAACCTTGCCTGCCAAACACTTGCACACAGTCTTTACTTTACAATTTGGGAAGCATTGTGGAACTAACCTGGTCAATCAACTGCTACTTTTATAAACTAAACTGTTTCCATTTATGCTTGCAGATACTGTATTGCATTATGTGCTTCTATGAAAGATGTATTTAAAGTCGATCGTCACACACAGTGGAACATCACATCATCCTCACATCCCTTCATATTACAAATGTCAAATTTGATATTTTTTGGTAGCAGTTACCTTTTTCAGCAGGTACTCGCTCCAACTTTGTCACTCCTCACTTAGGCAAGAATGTCTTAACCATGTCATGTTAGCACTTACTCCTGTAGTCCAGCAAGCTGGGTTTTTGGCAGGATCACTTCCTAAGTTTTCCTATAAATAACACTCACACATGAAAATCACAGAGCACTTTTGGTTATTTGTGGGTGCTTTGTGACATGTTTTAAAAAAATATATATTTTACCTATAGCTGTACTTTAAAGAAAAACTACGAGGTGAGTGATTTACACATCCTCATAGTTAGAGCCGACCTGTGGTAATGAAACTGTCACACGTAGATTCTATAGTCCGGGAAGTGAGCGAACACATGCCGTCGCTCGCTCACTTCCCGATCATCTCCCTGCAGAGAGCAGTGACTGTCAATCACTGCTCCCTGCAGGGATCCCCCCTCCCCTCTCCAATCCTCCAGTGCTGAGTTGAGGAAGGGACGAGTGAGGGGGCAGGCACAGCTGGCTCTGTCTCTAGATAGGCAATCAGCCAGCTGGGTGGATCAGGATAGTATTGTCGGGATCTGTCCTGGCTACGGTGCTCTCAGCATATAGCGTGCATAGTTCTCTTTTAAGCTTATAAATATTAGGTATTTGGGTTTTTAATTTTATGTACATTTTATGTATATTTCTCCAGCAATACATTGCTAATTACCTCTTAAAGCATCTTAAACCATAGCAGCCCTAATAATTGTAATAATGTATTAATATTTTGTGGAACTTTATAAAACATTGGCAACAGAGGATATTGCACATAATGTTAACGTATCAGGGAAATATTCTTTTTCTAATTATTATTATTATTATGATGCAAAATATACTCTAATGCAATATTATGATTTTTTAAATATTAAAGCCTAATTACACGCATTTTATTTTGTTTATTTATTTTTTTTTACGATTAGAGCCTCTGTCTCAATTTTATTACTGTCTGCACTTCTATGGGGGAAGTTTTTCCTTACCTGTCAGGACAAGAAGTGATGGAAAATCTCTCCAAATGGGGCACGGACTAAGAACTATTTTTCGTAGTATGACGAAGAGTTGAAACTTTTGACAATGTTTTTGGCTTTAAGCCAGGTTCACACCACAGGGCAAGCCTTACTGCACTTGCGTTGTGGAGCATTTTGAATGAGTTGGACAGCATTACGCTGTGATAAAATGATGCCTTATAATTTTAATGTAGCTCAACACAATGCAATGCACAGGTGAAAACAACACATATTAAAACCAGGGCTGTTTGCTTTGTCTTTGCATTGCGTTTGCAGGAAGCCAAGAAATAATAGGGAAGTAAGATAAGGCAATCCTTTTAGCTTTCTGTGTGGAACATCTACAATGAAACCCCAAATGACTCATTTTAGTCAAACATAATAACATTTGTAATGAATGTATCATAAAAAATAAAAAAAATTCCAGTTGACATGAGGACTATAAGTGAAACATACTTTTAACAGGAAAAACACATAGGTTACAAAAGCAACCCCTGCTGCCAATGAAGCACAACGGCTGTGGTCTGAACCAGTTCTTAGGCCGGGTTCACACCTGGGCGTTTTGTAGCGCGTTCCTACGCTCTGCAAAATGCTCAAACACCGAAATCCCATTATTTCCTATGGGTATGGTTCACACCTGGGCGTATTACAGGCCGTATGAACGCGCTACAAAACGTCCTACGCCCAAAGAAGTACAGGAGCTTCTTTGGGGCATTTTTGTTGCGCGTTTCCATTGGGATACAGCCAAGGAGCCATCGGAAACGCGCGTTTGTCGCGCAGTTTTTTTACCGTGAATCGCGGTGCAATCGTGCAACATGAAACGTGCGACAAACGCGCATATTCGATATGCCTAGGTGTGAACCCAGCCTTAGTAATTAGCAAGGTGATAAGAAACTATTAAGAAGAAACGTGTAAATGTTTACACTGGATGAAGGCAGAAGGTGAACTTGTATTATCGGTGATTATTACTCTGCTGCTCTCTGCATGTTTGCTACGTGAAGAAGTCCAAAGGTTAATAGGTTTATAATTGCTATGGTGTAATACCAGATGTGTTTTCCTATACAAGTTCTAGTCCTAACAATGCTACCAGAATACATTTCTATTGAGTACTGCGCTTCCTAAAATCATCACTCAAATATAGGGCTGGTCAAACAGCCAGAGACGGGGTTCGTGTTGAGTGTAAAACTGATTAATAGTAAATAAACATTTTATACAGCTGAATTCTTAAAGAAAATTCCCTTCATTTAATCTACCGATCTGAGAGGCCTTGACTGTGGTGCAAGAAAGCTATTAAACACTGCAGAATCCTAGTTGTCTCTCACATAAAGAAAGCCAGATGTAAGATGTTAGCACTCTTAGAAATCTCTTGAAGCTCTGAGCCAGCTTCAGACCTGCTTTGGAAGTTTAAATTTGATTTGAATGTGAATTATGTGAATGTTCTGACTGAAGCACAACTGCATTGTTTTTCTGTTCAGTATTACTTGTTGCTTGGAATTACCTTTTATTGACCATTATTGAGGGATGGAATAAAAAGGAATGTTGCTGTTTTTGACAACACAAACTTATGAAGAATTATTAAAACTCAACACATCATAATTATTATTAAATTATTAAAACTCAACACTAGCCGAATGCCGCAGAGCTTCTTCAGGGGGGTCCTAGGTGACATTAGGCGTCTCGGAGACCCCTAATGTCTCCATAAAGAGGACCTGTCACATTTTTTGCTCTCACATGGGGTGTTTTATTAGCCCCCTATGTGATAGCAATAAAGTTAAGTGAAAAAAAAATAGGAAAAAAAATTAAAGTTTCCCAAAAGTTTTTTAAAGTCACACATAAAAAAGAATAAGAAAAACACATGTCCCATCATAATTACGCGCATGCAAATATGTGTCGGGTGCGAAAACGATGATTGCCCCATTACGCCGCACATGTTACATATTGCCGCAAACGTCGCAATGAGACCAATTCTAGGGCCCTCAATCACTGATAACACTAAACTGATGAGCGGTAAAAGCTTTTAAAGTGTTGCCTATGGTCAATTTTGGTTATGGTAGTTTTCTGCGATTTTTAAGCTTGACTTCTTTGTTGTCTATTAACCCGACGTGACCCCCTCTTTTATATTTTTAACAAAAAATTGGGTAATAATAATTGTTTCCTAACATAATGTAGAAAACACTTTTGTTTTCAACATTTTCAGTCATTTTTCCTTATAGTAAAAAATAAAAACCCCAGTGGTGATTAAAAACCACCAAAAGAAAGCTCTGTCTGTCCCCAAAAAATGGTATAAAATTAATTTCAGTACAGCGTTGCATGACGGAATAAATGTCAGTCAAAGTACCGCAGCGCTGAATACTGGAAAAATGGCCTGGCCAGGAAGGGGGTCTAAACACCTGGTCTTCAAGTGGTTAAAAAGGTAAATAAATTATACATCTTAAAAAATAAATAAAGATTTCCACAAAAAAAGACAAACATAGATTTAAAAAAGTAAAAAAATTAAGATCATTGAAAAAAGAAAAATGAAGATTATTGAAAAAAGAAAGAAACAATCGGGCAGAGCTAGCAGTGACAGCTAGCTCCGCCCAACTGTTTCCTATTGGCCGGGACCTGCTAGACCTGCGGGAGGTCACGGCTGGCTCCGCCAAGTTGTCATTGTGTAATGACAGTTCAGCATCCCCATGTAACCTCGGGACGCTGATCTGCCATTGCAACTGGCCGGAGCCAGCCATGAGATCACGGCTGGCTCCGCCCAGCTGTCAGTTGCAAGGCATTCGGCCGGGCCAATGGCCGTCCGTTCGGTCCACTTCGGGTTACGCCTCGCCTCAGTCAAGCCGAAGCATATGGCTTTGGCTTGACTGAGCCGCTCAGCCAACTTCGGGAGGATTACAGGCTATAGGGAACTGAACCGAAGGGCTCCGACGTCCGAAGCTAGCCGAAGGATCAGCCGGAGCTACGACTTATCCTCTGGCAAGCTTTGTGAATAACCCTCTTAGTGTTAAGTGCATGATTATAACCATAAAAAAAAGGAGCGCTACTACCTGGGGAACTGCTAATAGTGGTATAATGACTGTAATCAATGTATACGTAAAAAGATACCAGGGCTCACTGTTGAATGGAGATGATAGTGATCCTGTGATGAAGGATAAGGGGTGTGTGTGACATCAATGAAAGCGTAGAAAAGTTCATCAACCATAAGAAGTCATGAATGAAACATGAGTTGAAGAAGTGACCGATAATCCACAGGGTCTGTGTATGGGAGATATGCAATCCTCGTTGTATGCTGTACTCGATGTAGCAATTAGTGACACAAAGAAACAAAAAGTGACACGCGCTCAGCCGGCCAGGCTGAGCCATAGTGGCTGAACAGGGAGCGTTTGTGCCGGGCGGTTTTTTCTATTGGCCGGACGGTTCTGCTGCCGTCAGAATAAAAAAAAAAAAAAAAACACCATAGGAATGCATAGCTAGATTCCTATTGGCTTTTTCACTTTGCAATAGCCAAAAACAAACTAGCTACTGCACCCGCCCTCTGCTGCTGTCAATCACTAGAAGGGAACCTGATGGAGAACTTCAGGTCCCCTCTGCTGATTGACAGCATCAGTGGGTGGGTGCAAAAGCTAGTTTGCTATTGGATATTGCAAATTGAAATAGCTAATAGGAATGTAGCTATGCAATATGCTATTTTTTTTTCTGACTGACGGCAGCCAGCGGCTTCGATGTCAGAAGAAAAAAAAAAAAGAACAGAGCATGGAAAGGTTTACTCTGCTCGATCGAGCAGAGTAAACCTTGCTGGGAGAAAGTGTTTCTCTCCCAGGCGGCCGGGAGCCGCTATCTAATAGCGGGAGACTCCCAGAGAGTCCGGAAGAGTAATGACAGATCAGCGTCCCTGGTTACCTGGTAACCAGGGGACGCTGATGTGTCTCTGCAAGTGGTCGAGACCCGCCGTGAGATGACGGTTGGCTCCGCCCAGCTGTCAGTAGCAGGCTGTCGGCCGGCCGTTCGGCCAGCTTTGCCTTTCACCTCGGCTCAGTCGAGCCGAGGCATATGCCGACTTCGGGAGCTGTAGGCTATAGTGAATAGCGCGTACAGCAGCCCATCGGTTCTACTGAACCGAAGGGGTCCTGGGGCCGAAGTTAGACGAAGGATCAGCCGAAGCTATGGCTAGATCCTTCGGCAGCTTAGTGAATAGACCTCGAGGTCTGCAAAAAATCAAGATAAGCATGTGATGTAGGTATAATATTAGACATGCATGGGTCACTATGCACTAGGTGACATCTTGAATATTGAGTACTGTTTTGAGTACCACACTGTATTAACAACATAGGAGATACAGTGAAGCATCAAAGGTAGACCGCTATAATGAAAGTATAAAAATTTAAGCTTCTGTAGTCTGGGAAAAATGGCCCATATCCAGGGTCATATGTGATTATAACAAGACAAACTAACCTCTTTCTAAAGGTTTTTGCTGCAGGAAATAAGTACAGTTAATTTTTTCCATATTTACTAATTTTATACTACACTCTTATGAAAAGCCAGTAAATCAGAACCATTCTCAAGATCTGCCAAATTTTGTTTAGCACAAAGCTGACCGTTTTATGTTGTTTCAGACTTGTCATTGGTCACCACGCATGGCTGATTTGGTTCAATGCTTCCCTTCTGTTTTATGTTTGTCTTTACCAGTATACTATCTAATCCATAATTTTGCAAAGCTGCAATAAAAGTCTATAAATTGTTTTCAAATTATGTAGCAATATATTTATTAATATGCTTATGAGCGTAAACAATAAAAAGGGGAAATCTCATTTAAAAGGGGATGTCTTTGTAACCATGTCAGCTCCTGCATTTTGTATACCCTTTATGGACTATGGACTATGGACTTTATGGACCCAATCTAGACAGGAGCCAATTAACCTTCCAGCATATCTTTGCAGTGTGAGAGGAAAGCCACACAAGCACTGAGAGAACATGCAAACTCCTTGCAGATAGAGTCCTGACTGGGATTTGAACTGGGGACCCCCCTAATTAATAGCATAGCAGGATGCTGGGAAAGCTAATCAAACATGTGTACTTGCATGTAATGTTTCTGCTTACCCACATGACCGCTTCAGGTGATCCACTATTGTGGTGTGATCTCTTTCTACCATTTCATGATGAGCATTGAAGGAATCCTCTGAATAAATAGGTCTTGACACCAAGTACTTATTCTCGCTTTTATTTTCTTCCAATTTATGTGTTTCCATTTTAAAAATGTTTGTGGTGGCTTAAATTTTTCTATATAAAAGACTTTCTTCTAATCTGAAAAATAAAAATATGAACATATTAAGACAAGATAACCAGATAAAAGATGTCAGTGGTATATTCAATTGGGCAGTTTAAAATATGATATCTGGCCCACTTTTCAGCTGTTGTAAGATATTAAAGAACTCTGGGCATATTAAACATTAACCATTGCAGTAGGGCTATGCCCACACTGCAAGAGTTAAGTGATTGTTTTGGTCTAGGGTCTAAAATAAAAAAAAAAACCTTGGCTACCAGACCGGTCCCTGCAGCCTCTTCTTCTCCGGGCTCCAGTGGTCTAAGGACCCATGACGTTATCACATCCAATCACTTGCATTGGCCGTGAGGACATTCCACAACCCGTATGGAGGGGAGAGAGGTGAGCAGTCACCACTGTGGGACAGAGGATCGTGTGACTATGAGGGTTATTAACAAAAGGGTGAAGCGTTTGCAGAAGGCAGGAGAAGTGAACAATATAGGACAAAATAGCTGATTAGGAAACAAACTCCAATTCAGGTCACTTTCCAGTTCAGCTATGTTGTCCTAGATTGTTCACTTCTCCTGCCTTCTCCAAACTCTTCACCCTTTTGTGAATAACCCTGTATATCTTTTTTTTATTTTAGACCCTAGACTGAAACGAACACTTAACTCCCCAAAGCTCAGTCCTTGGACCCCTTCTCTATCTACACCACCTCTCTTGGTCAGTTAATAACCTCATATGGCTTCCAATACCATCTCTATGCCAATGACACTCAAATCTCTCTTTCTACTCCACAACTCACCCCCTCAGTGTCCTTGCGTGTCACTAATCTACAAACTGAATTATCAGTCTGGATGTCACAACACTTCTTAAAACTCAATCTTTCAAAAACTGAGCTCTTTAAATTTCCTCCTGCCCGTGCACCTTCCCCCAACTTTTCCCTTGAGATTGATAACACAACCATCCATCCCTCTCCTCATGCCAAGGTCCTAGGTGTCATCCTGGACTCGGACCTCACCTTTCTCCCCCTCATCCAATTACTATCCCAATTCTGAAAAAACAATATTGTGCCGAGCTAATAATCATACATATCTAATAAATTGAAACATATATAAGTGAGTCACATATATGAGCCTTCAAACAAATGAGGCATAGAAAACATCTACACAAAGACAAAAAAGCAATATAGACAATAAAAAGTCTCAAGGAAAAAACAAAAGCAAACAATGGTGATTGTGCAAAAAAAAAAAAAATCCTTCAGATAATTCGCAGCCAATCTGCATATAACTCTCAGGCAAGGATAATCACAATGCAGGCAGACCTTCGCCTCCACCCAGTGAGTGATGACAACAAGTGAGTGCTCACCTGGGGAGGTAGACCTACAGAGCTAGGGCAAATGCGCTTTTTCCCTTCTTAATGGGGGAGGGAAGCCCATGCACAGAAAAGGCGATAAGGTCTCCTCAGATCACAGGTACCAGTATGAATCCAGGTGGAAAGAGAAAAAGGACAAGGACACAGTGCGTAACGTCCAATAAAAATGCAATTTATTAAATAAAAAATGCGTACTCACAATGATATAAACAGTACAGGCATTGGGTATTGCCAATCGGACCAGCAGGGCAAATGGCAGCAAAAGCGATAAAAAAAACCTGTTCGTCCGGCTCAGCTCAGTGCGGTGACATCAGAAGCTCTGCCCTACGTACGTTACGTCAAAACACGTGACTTCATCAGGGGTCTCTCCCAATTGTATCCCAATTCTGTCGCCTTCACCATTCTAACATCTCCAAAATACGCCCCTTCCTCACCAATGAAACCGCTAAACTACTCATCCACTCACTTGTTATCTCTCGTCTCGACTATTGTAACTCCCTCCTCATTGGCCTACCTCCTACACAGGTTACCCCCCTTTCAGTCTATCATGAATGCAGCTGCTAGACTCATCTACCTGACCAACTGCTCAGTGTCTGCAACCTCCTCTGCCAATCCCTGCACTGGCTTCCACTCGCCCAAAGGATAAAAGTCAAAATATTAACAATCACTTATAAGCCACTTATAAAGCCATCCACAACTCTGCCCATAACCGTCCCCTCCACTCCTCCCAAGACCTCCTTCTTTCCAACTCCCTTGTCAGCTCCTCCCATACTCACCTCCAGGACTTCTCTAGAGTTTCTCCCATCCTCTGGAACTCTTTACCCCAACCTGTCCGTCTATCTCTCACCTTGACTGCCTTTAAGTGTCCCCTAAAGACTCATCTCTTCAGGAAAGCCTATCCCACCTCAACCTAACTACTGAACCAGCACATTCTCAAACAATTGATCCCCACACAGCTACCTCCTCATGTATCACTTACTCCTCCCTTTTAGATTGTAAGCCCTCACGGGCAGGGCCCTCCTTACCATCTTGTCTCAAATTGTATTGTGATCGTAATGTCTTCCTTATATTGTAAAGCACTGTGCAAACTATTGGCGCTATGTGAATCCTGTATAATAATAATAATAATAACTCTAGCAGTCCAGGGGGAGCCCCACTGAAAAGGGTAGTGTTTAAAATGCCCAAAGATTTTCTGCAACTGGTTGGAAAAAAAAAAGCTGTTGAAAACATTGCAGTTTAAGTTGCCACATGATAGAATCAGCCGATACCCTGTTGTACAATGCGTGGCCCTGCAAAAGATAGCTGATGTCTACCACATAGCTGATATGGAAAAAAAACCCAGATAAAAGTGTTTGAAGCAGCTGATAAATTAATGTTGTTTTACATTTACTCTGGTAAGAACCCCCCCCCCCCAAACATATTTTACTGTTTTCTGTGCTGTCTTCACTCTGTTTTTCTAGTCTTAATATTACACGAGAAGATCATGATCCTGAAGAGAAAAGAAGAACAGAAACAGAAGGCAGAAAAATCTGCTGCTCTTCCCTTTTTTTTGATCTGAACCGATGCCTAAACATGTAAATTATTACATCCGCATATGTGTGCCCTTTAAGTGCTTTACCTGCAGAGTTAGGCAAGGAATTTAACCTTGTGTACCTGTTAAGATTTCATTTGGGTGTACTTGTTACAAAAAGTCTACTCTACCAAAAAAAAGGCAACTGCAAACTACCCCACTAAGTGTATCTAATCCTTAGACAGCTAACAGTGTATTTCATTATTATCAAGTTGCATTACAATGAAATCAATAAACCGTATAAATTATTATTTAAACATTGCCAAATTTCCCATTCAAATTTGCACATTTGCATTTTGGACACACAACACCCTGACAAATGATTTACATCATCGAATTTCCTCTAATTTAATATGCTAGGCGGCAGGAAGACATACGAGGAGAGTGGTTGCTGTAGGCAGACACTAAACAAAGACTACATATTATCATATTTTGCTAATAAGTGAGAAAGTATGCTTACTGGAACATAGTCCATGTGGGAAATTGGGCCCTGAAAGTATTCAGAAAATTGACAAAAGTAAAGGAATGGCAAAGAAAAGTACTGTGTGCTGATCAAGGGCCACATACCAACATTTAGGAAGCTGATATGGTTTGCCAAGATACAGGAAACTATAAATGGAGAATAAATAATGCTCCAAATGCTAAGCTGTCCGTTCACAAAGATACTAATGACTGTCGTCATTGCCAGATGTGGAGCCTGACATGTAAAGTATGTCATATAATGTACAACATATAGCCCTGTGACACCAGTGTTAAGTGAAATATTGGGGGGGTCAGTTTGGCTAAAATAATTTACAGCTGACGTAAAACGTATTTTTTGCAATACATATAGAGTTATGCTGAAGATGATGTTCACAGCTCTTGGAGAGCTCACGCTGTGATCATTGTGAATATGTTTGCCAGGTTAAAAAAACCTGTATTCCCAGGTTTCTACCTGCTCCTTGGCAAACATAAAGGCTGGGTTTACACTGTTGCGCTGTGCACCTTGCCAATGGAGCAGTGCCCCACAAACAACAGTAATGCACTACTGTTTAATGTGGTGTGCTGTGTTACAAAAATGCAGTAGATGCCCCATTTTTATGTGTTTAGGGGCATTTAAAGTGACACTAAACTCTGGAGTTAAATCTTAAAAATGCTTTCAAGTACCTTAACTACTAACAAAAATGTGATTTATTTCTGTATCACCCGGCTGTATCATCTCTAAATCAGCTCTGAATTCATACTGACACTGTCCTTCCTTCTGGAGGGTGGCTACCTTTGTTCCCCATGGTCCCTGTGTGTGTTGTAAAGTAGCCACCGCTCCAAGCTCGCTCCTGTCATGGACTACAATCTCACGGTTAATTTAACAATTTGTATTGAGATTGTAGTCCAGGGGTCAGCAACCCCCGGCACGCGTGCCCAGCCTGGCACGCGAGACCTTGACAGCTGGCACGCGACCAGAGGCGGCTCTCTAATTAGGCGGTCGCCTTAGGCCTCGCGGCCGCCTAATTTGCCAGGTCGGCACATTACCTGCAAGCCAGGTAACATTATGAGCTCTCAGCCCTGTCGCTTTGACGCTGTCAAAGCGAGACTCTTAGTTTGACAGCACAGCGTCAGGGCCGAGAGCTCATCCGTTTTCTCGGTCAATCCACTCGTCTGGTCTGCCGGAGCTCCGTCCACCAGCCAATTGGACGAGACCTCACCCCAGTAGTCCATCCCAAGAGTGAGCTTGGAGTGGTGGCTACTTTACAACACACACAGGGACCATGGGGAACAAAAGTAGCCACCCTCCAGGAGGAAGGGCAGTGTCAGCACCAATTCAGAGATGATTTGAGGATCTACAGCTGAGTGATACACAAATAAGATACATTTTTGTTAAAAGGGTACTTGAATGCATATTTAAGATTTAACGCCTCAATTTAGTGTCACTTTAAATGAATAGTCTGCCTTAGTGCAACACATGTTAGCCTTGTGACATAATGCACTTTACTGCACCACAGATGCTTGAAGCAAGCCTAAATCACAATCAAAGTCCCAGAAATAGATATACTGTCACAAAGACA